TTAGATAGATAGATAGATAGAAGATAGGTGGATAGATGGATAGATGGATAGACGGATAGATGGATGGATGGATAGATAGATAGATAGATAAAAAGTAGATAGATAGTTTTAAAAAAATAGATAGTTAAAAAATAGATAGATTGATTTATATATATATAGTTAAAAAATAGATAGATAGTGAAAAAATGGATAGATAGATAAAAATAGATAGATAGATGGATAGATAGATAGATAGGTAGGTAGATAGATAGATAGATAGATAGTAAGATAGATAGATAGATAGATAGATAGACAGATAGATAGATAGATTGATAGATTCGATGGATTTGATAGATTTGATAGATTTGTTAGATTTGATAGATTTGAAAGATTTGATAGATTTGATAGATTGATAGATTCGATAGATTTGATAGATTTGATAGATTTGTTAGATTTGATAGACTTGAAAGATTTGATAGATATGATAGATAGATTAGATAGATTAGATAGATTAGATAGATTCGATAGATTAGATTAGATTAGATGAGATTAGATTACATTAGATTAAATTAGATTAGGTTAGTTAGATAGATAGATACAAAGATAGATAGTAGATAGATCGATCGATCGATAGATAGATAGATAGATAGGTAGGTAGATAGATAGATAGATAGATTCGATAGATTTGATAGATAAAAGTAAGATAGATAGAAGTAAGATAGATAGAAGTAAGATAGACAAAAGTAAGATAGATAGATAGATAGGTAGGTAGATAGATAGATAGATAGAGAGATACAACTACAACTACAACCACCACTACATGACATTACATTACACTACACTACACTACACCACGCTACGCTACACGACGCTTACTACATTACACACACTACATTTCACTACACTACACTACATTAATTACACGGCCCTACGCTACAACTACAACTACACTACACTACACGACACTACACTACACTACACTAATTATACTGCACTATATTGCACTACATCACAACTACAACTACGCTACCTTAGACTAGACTACGGTACACTATACCACACTACACTACACAACACTACACGACATTACGCTGCACTACACTACATGAATTACACTACATTAATTACACAACAACAGCAACAACAACAACAACAGCAACAGCAACAGCAACAACAACAACATCAACATCAACATCAACATCAACATCAACAACTGCAACTGCAACTGCAACTGCAACTGCAACTACACTACACTAACTACATTACATTACAACTACAACTTACAACTACAACTCCACTACACTACAACTACACCCACGACTGCAACTACAGCTGCACTACACCACACTACATCCAGCAGTTGTGGGTGAGGTGACCGCTGCAACCAGTGCAACCGCTCCAGAAAACACAACTCCAGCCACCTTTCGGTCCATCAGTGGATTCGCTCTGCCATCCGTGATTCACAACAACCAACCTCTCCTACAGGCTTCCTATTTTTGAAACTTCCGCCACCGCCTTGTGCGGCACTACTGGTAGATATGATTTAATGTCAAGGTGGGGATATGGTTTGGTTCTCCAGCAAGAAACGAATCACAATAAAAATGGCGTGGAAACTGTGAAAGGTTGCCAGTTCTTCTTTAGCACAGATGTGAAGCCAAGAGATGCTACACAAAGCGAGCAGGCCGGAGTAGGAGTAGTTGCATCCAATCTGAAACATTGCTTGCATTGAGGATGTTAAGCAATTTTCTGGGAGATTGATGTCTATCACACTGAGATCAAAGGGCAGAATTTTATGTTTCAGTTCCTCTTATGCATCGCATAGTGGCCATGATGTACAGATGAATATTAGTTTTTACCAAGAAGCTCAATCTTATGTGCGTAAAAGCAAAGGCGCACACTTTCTCGGACGTGATTTCAATGCCAGACTCCATCACCGATACCAACCCGAGGAGTCCGCACTGGGACCTCATATATATATATATGTGTGGCAGGGGGCCTGGCTACCTAGAGCAAGTCGCAGATTGCACCCTCGAAAACCGATCCCTGTTTCTGAGTTATTGTTTACAGGATGGCCTCAAAGGATTGAACACATGCTTCAGAAAAACACAAGAGAAGTATTGCACCTTTCGGGAAAGTACAACTGAACATGGCCCAGAATGGATTCCTCAGAGGTATGCGTAGAAATTGTCCTGACCTGACTGCTGGAACTGACATTTTTTCCTTTCCGACCATTACAGTATATAGTTGAAGCCTGCGTAGTTGTCAGGTTGCAGCCTCACAAGCACCCCAGACCAAGAGCACCTAAATTTCGACAACCAACCGACCTAGAATCTGAAAGGTTCAATACACAGTAAGCTGAATTACTTTTTGCCTCAAATGGAGTGCTAGAAGTAGCAAACAAAACCCTAACAACAATAGACAGGAAACAAAAGCAGGACTACATGTCGGAAGAAACGTAGCAGAAAATTGTTGCCAGACAAATTGCTCATGAAAATAGGAACTTGCCGACTGTAAGGGATCTTTCGTCACAAATCAAAAACTTGGCCCGTAGAGACAGACGCAATGCCATTCTGGAATCCATTCAAGAACTCGTTCATCAAAGAGAAAAGTGGTCTGGCATCGAAAATATGAAAAACGATCCCTAGCCCACGTATCTTCAGGACAAACACTGGACAAACAACATCAGCGTGCCAGGAGGAAACCTAGAGGTCATCCAGGACCTTAGTAATCAGTTTGATACAGGATATTTCATTATGACTGAACTTGATGCGGCCCTGCCTCTACCAAGATGCACAAACAACCTGGACCTGACAAAGTCATCATGGAACTGTTCAAATTGGTGAATCATGTAAACAAATCTTGGTTTCTTAGCCTATTAAATCCCTGGTGGGATAGTAAGCTGCCCCTGATGCAAGCTGTACCAATATATAAGAAAGGCGATACAGATGAACCTTCCAACTATAGACCGGTCTCTTTGTTGAATTCCTCTTTAGACTTTACATGATTCTGATCAGGCAACGCTTACAAACTGTTTTGGAGGATACCTTGACTAAGACACAATTTGAGTTTAGACCTTCTAGGAGCACCTCCCACGCCTTATTCCTCACACGAAGAATGCAAGATATAGCAGAGCAGCAAGGTTCAAATCTAATTATCACCTTTTTAGGTTGGGAAAAGGCATCTCATAAGGTCCAGCATGAAAAGCAGCATGTGGCATTACGAAGATTTGGGGTCCATCAGCATTTTATTGATGTCATTAAAAGAAAACTTATTCCAACATTTGCTTCTTTGTCGAAGATGAATTTGGTACATCCTCAACAAAACGGCAGGCGGCAGGGATTAGGCAAGGCTGTCCATTATCCCTCTACCTTTTTGTGCTGGGTATGAGTATAATTGATCATGATATTTCGCATAGTCTTGATAGGCGCACTATCAGGTCAAGAAAGGCTGGCATCGAGTCTGATAGAATCTACTACTCTGATGACATTGTTCTACATATGCGGCAAACAGAATGCTTTTGGGCTGTCGAACGAATTTCGAAGCAGTTTGGGCTTTTACTAAACGGCAGGAAATGTTCCCATTTTGCGATGAATCGAACGTAAATAATGTGGTCAGATTTGATAATGGAACCAAACTCAAAAGGTGTACAGAGTGTTTTGGGACATCACATCACCCAGTCAGAAAATGTACGACAGGAAGTGGGTCAAAGAATGCAACAAACTATGAACACCTGGTTCGAACTTATTTGTCTGGAAAGCTGCAAATTGCACCACCAGACGAAAGCTACGTGTCTCACGCGATCATCCAAAACAAACTCATCTATGGGTTAGAAACCTTTCAAAACTTTTTCCTTACCAAGCCATGTTAAAGAAGATAGATGCGTTCCACCTCCGTGGGCTTCGGTCCATTTTAGGACTGGAGACCACCGTTGTTCGTAGGAACATCAGTGAATTTGTGCTGAGGACTGCTTCTGACCATTCGGGACATGAAATTGAAATACCGTTGTTCTCAGACCTCCTCCTCCTCAAGAAACGAATTGCTCTAGCTGGACACATTTCCAGAACCAATGATAGCGATCCATTACGACAGACCACCTATGCACCTAGTACAGCATGCAGCGATCCAATTGGAAAAAGGCGGGTAGGAGGTCCGAGGCAGCAATGGCGACACTTTTTACGCATATATAACTAATTTGGGACATTTTGGGACAATCTTTTGGACGAACGAACGGAGTACGAAAACATAAACAGACAAACCAAACAAATCATCAATTGGCTCTCGCACGGGCCTTTTGAATGCAGTCGCAACGTGGGCCCACGGACACTTGAGTGCCCACGGCCGCCCAAAAAAAAAACTGGTTCCTATAGCCATGTCCTATTTTTGAAACTTCCGCCCCGGCGCGTGCCAGGCACTACCTGGTAATAGATGTTTTTCTTTTTGTTTTCTCCTTGTTCTTCTGCCACGTGTTCGGCTGAGGGCTTGCGACATGTTGTGTTGTGTGAAAAGCAATTGGATTACCTCCCTTCCAAATGCAGAAGATCCGGGCTCTAATTAATTGTTGAACGTTCCGGTCGACCGGCTATTAATTCGTGGCCACGGTCCAAGTTGATTTTGTCGCGAGTTGTGTTTGAGAACGGGAGTTCTGTTGTTGTTGTTGTTGTTGCTGTTGCTGTTGCTGTTGCTGTTGTTGTTGTTGTTGTTGTTGTTGGGATCTAATATTTGCCTGTGAAAACACCTCTGAAAGAATGAGATGAAACATTTTCTGATATCATATTTTGCTTCGTAGGAGAGCTATAAGACTGCAGTTGCATTCTGAATCGTGGCTCCTAGTGCGCAAGTCAGAGTGTTTTAAATGTCAAATCTTATCCAGCTCAAAATGTACGACAGAGTATTAAGGTTTAGGAGACAGAGCGTTATAGTTTTTCACAATTTTTCACCATCCCAACAGACAGAGGACAACTAGCCATTTAGATCCATTTAGAAGAAAACCCACTGTAGGTTGTTTGCTTCCCCCTGGGGGTCAGTAGAAGGGCCAGCCAGGAATTTTGGCCGTCGCTGGCAATGGAAGCGGACTCCCAAGGAGACTCGCGCCTGCACTTGCAGGTCAAGAATACGTTTTTGGATTTCCAGACCGACGAGGACGGGGATGCAGGAATCGAGACTCGCGCCTGCACTTGCAGGTCAAGAATACGTTTTTGGATTTCCAGACCGACGAGGACGGGGATGCAGGAATCGAGGGTTGCTCAGCCGACCGGTCTTGCAAAATCAGCATGATAGACAGAGGCCTCGCACAGTTGCAATAAAGTGATTGTGAGCGGATGGAATGCTAGGAGAAGGAGAAGGTGACGTTGCAGCCGAAAAGGTATGAAAAAGGTGATAGTTTGCCATGAATGCGGCAGGAATTTCAGAGAAGGACCTCTCACACGCGCAGCAAGAGTTGGGATGGATCCACCTCTTCTTCCAGTGTGTGCTGGGGAACTCAGCTTGATGGTGAAGCTACAGCTATTAATTCCGTGCATTGATCATGGCGGTCCGTTTCATTTGGCTCAACTCAGGCTCTGGAACTGGCGACTCCGAAAATGAACACTACTACGGAGCCAATGTTCAGAGCCGCCAAGAATTACACCACTGGGTTGTACAAACGCCAGTCACCCAGCCCTGACACCTGAAGGGATGTCATCGCTGTGTTGTCCATATGTCTTCCATAAGTCATTGGCAAAAGTCAAACTGCAGCTAAGGAACTCTTCCAACTCGGCTTCAGTGTCCGATTCAGTTGATGAAACTGCCGGGCAGTCGTTTCGGGACTTTGTCTGGGAGCTCGAAACAGGCACCCGTGGTACACTTCTGAAATGCTAAGGCATGAAAGTACAACTTGAAATCAATGTTGTATTTGATGTGGATGAAGCCACCCAGTCGTGGGCCGAAGGAAGTCGACGTTGCAAGAGACTTGTGCAGACAAATCCAACAACCAGATTTGGAGAGTTTAATAGGCATAACCGTTGCGGCATAACCTGTCTGGACTGATTTTGAGTCCGTAACATTGCGTCACCCAGTTCCCAAGAATGGGCCAGGACAAACAAGCCCTCCTCACCCAGCCGAGGTGCGATTCATGGGCGTTGTGTTGCCATGAGAGCAGCATAGAAAATGCAGTTTGAGGTAATGAATGTACATGATGGTATAATGGTGGTATAATGATGGTATAATGATGGTATGATGATGGTATAATGATGGTAGATGATGGTATAATGATGGTATAATGATGGTATAATGATGGTATAGTGATGGTATAATGATGGTATAATGATGGTATAATGCTGGTAGATGATGGTATAATGATGGTATAATGATGGTATAATGGTGGTATAATGCTGGTATAATGATGGTATGATGCTGATATAATGATGGTAGATGATGGTATAATGATGGTAGATGATGGTAGATGATGTTTTAATGATGGTATAATGATGGTATAATGATGGTATAGTGATGGTACAATGATGGTATAATGATGGTATAATGATGGTATAATGATGGTATAATGATGGTATAATGATGGTATAATGATGGTAGATGATGGTATAATGATGGTAGATGATGTTTTAATGATGGTATAATGATGGTATAATGATGATATAATGATGATATAATGATGGTAGATGATGGTATAATGATGGTAGATGATGGTATAATGATGGTATAATGATGGTAGATGATGGTATAGTGATGGTATAATGCTGGTAGATGATGGTATGATGATGGTATAATGATGGTATAATGGTGGTATAATGATGTATAATGATGGTATAATGATGGTATGATGCTGGTATAATGATGGTAGATGATGGTATAATGATGGTAGATGATGGTAGATGATGGTATAATGATGGTAGATGATGGTATAGTGATGGTATAATGCTGGTATAATGATGGTATAATGATGGTAGATGATGGTATAATGATGGTATAATGATGGTATAATGATGGTATAATGATGGTATAATGATGGCAGATGATGGTATAATGATGGTAGATGATGGTAGATGATGTTTTAATGATGGTATAATGATGGTATAATGATGGTATAATGATGGTATAATGATGATATAATGATGGTAGATGATGGTATAATGATGGTAGATGATGGTATAATGATGGTATAATGATGGTAGATGATGGTATAGTGATGGTATAATGCTGGTAGATGATGGTATAATGATGGTATCATGATGGTATAATGGTGGTATAATGATGGTATAATGATGGTATAATGATGGTAGATGATGGTATAATGATGGTAGATGATGGTATAATGATGGTATAATGATGGTATAATGATGGTAGATGATGGTATCATGATGGTAGATGATGGTATAATGATGGTATAATGATGGTATAATGATGATATAATGATGGTATAATGATGGTAGATGATGGTATCATGATGGTAGATGATGGTATAATGATGGTATAATGATGGTATAATGATGATATAATGATGATATAATGATGGTATAATGATGG